CCGAGCTTCCCGTAACCAAAAATCCCTGCCATCCACCCCAGGGAGGGCTGAGGGGGGGCTGCCACCCATCCCCAGGGTGGGCAGCGCTGCTTGGGGGAGACCGAGGTGGCCCCAGGGGAGCCCACGGTGCTCTCAGCGGTGCTTTTCTAAAAGCAAAAATGATATATTTTTTTTTTTGCTTACGGGTTGAAACCGTCCTGGGGCCGATGGCAGCTGGGCCTGTGCAGAGGGCGGCCGTGGAGCGGGCTCCAGGCAGCAGCCTGTAAAAATAGTTTCACTTTAACCCTGTTATCCAACATTCATATCAGTAGTTTTCCAAATCGCTCCCTTTAGGGGATGAAAGCGTCTACGTGCGGCTGCTGGCTGGGAGGCTCGATGGCAGCGGGAATAAGATGAAGCTTTGGTTGGTTTTGTTTGCTGGGTGGTGGCTTTTTTTTTTTTTTGGTGTTTGTTTTTTAACGTTTTGAGGAAGGTTCTCGGGAGCCCGCTGTGAGTTCTGGGAGACCGGCGGCAAAAACTCTTTTTATTATTCACCATTTCCAAAACAGTAACAGTGCGATTCCAGCCGAGGAAACTGCTCACACACACACACCCCCCCGTGTCAGGTTTCATCCAGTTTTCCTACGAGTCTGCAGGTGCAAGTGGGAAAATAGATGTCACCGGTGTGTGAGTGTGTGGAGCTGTCTCTCTGCCAGCTCTGTTGGAGAGTTCGTAGGCTCTGAGGGCAAAGTCAGCCTCTCCCAGCCACCAATGCCAGTGGAAAGTGGGTATAAAGCTGCTATAAAGCCAATGCCAGAAGGAAATGGTCGAGTTTAATATTGTGATTCCTGCTTTGCACCACTTAGCATCTATTGCGTGAGGTGAGGGCCCACCAGAAGTGAGGGCCCACCAGAAGTGAGGTCCCACCAGAAGTGAGGTCCCATCCGCGTTAAGGAACTGGGGGTGACAGCAGGTCAGCCGCTTTCATGTCATCTCTGCAAGTCCTGAGTTGCAGCTGGGCACCGAGTGTGGAGGACCTCAAAGAACCTAAAAAGTACTCGGGGCCAAACCCCACAGGCTGTAGGTCGGTTGTCCTCCCGAGCTGCCCCTGCTCTCAATGTGGATGCAGGGAGAAGAAGCACCTTAGAGCAGCCCTGCTCCCACCAGAGCCAGGCTGTGTGACAGCCAAGAGGAGTGGGTTGAGCTTTGTTAGGCTGGAGGAAACTTCAAACAGACATAAGAGCCTGTCAAGGGTTGAGCCTAAAGGACTTAACTTGCAAAATCAGGTCCTAAAACATCTCCAGCTCTCTCTCTCTTTGCCCCGGTGACCCTGCATTGGCAGTTTCCAGCCCTTTGCCCCCTGTTTCCAGCCAACTGCAACTTTTCTGCAAACTCTGCCACCATCCCAGCCACTGTGGTTTGCTCTGCAGTGCACAGGATGTGGGCAAGCCAGCATTGCCAAGGCAACCCCTCTGTTTTGATTTCCCCATGCTCAGGCTGGCAGCCTTTACCCCTCCGGCTCCGCCGGGCGAGCCGCGCACGCCGATGGTTTGTGGTGCCATCCCATGCTGGCCCTCAAAAGGAGCTTGTTTTCCACCCACGGCCACCCGTAAACTTGGGAGGAGTGGCAGATGCTCCCCACCCTTGAAAAAACCGGCTCCTTCAGAGCCAAGGTGGATTAAAGAACCTCCTGTTGGACGCCCAATTTCCATTAAAAGTTACACAAGTTGTGCAAACCCAGCCGTGCAGAGCTGCCATACATCCCTGGCTGCAGGATTTCCGAGCAAGTTTACCATGTCAAGCTTTCCCCTGACTCCCTGCTGGCACCGACTACCCAAAACCAAAGAGCTCATTTAGCAGGGTGTTTAGCATCCTTCTCCGAGACACTGCCCTGTCTCCCAGTGCCTCCTTGGCCCCATTTTTTTGGTCCCATACCTTGACCCAAAGAAACAGCCAACCTCCCAGATGCAGTTCCTCGTGCATTGGACCCATGGTTGGACCCCAGCACAGCTCTTCCCGTTCCACCTCCTCTCTGAGGGGAGATGTTGCTGTTACACCAAGTAATTGAGCAGCAGCACAGATTTGTCCTCAATGCAGCTCCTCGCTGCTCACACAGGCTTTCAGCTGGCGATGGGTGGCCTTGGGTAACCCCTCTGCCCTTGGAATTGTTGCTTAAAAGGCACCATGTCTACTTTCCCTTCCCCCCCTCCTTTTTTTTTTTTTTAATTAAACTGAAGAACCCCTTTATTTGGCGCACAGACATCCCTTCATCTACCAAACAAAAGGCGATGCACGCACCCAAAAGAAAAAGGCATTTGAAAACCAGCTGCGTTGCCATGTGAAAGGTGGCCCTGGGGTTTCAGTGCTGCTTGCTCAGGGTGGTGGCCGGTACCTCTGCCCTTCCCCACACCAGGGATGCTCGGCCACATCCCTGCTGCTCCGGGCTTGTCCAGGGCAGCCACACGTCCCCAGCTGGGCACTTCCCAGGAACAAGCAGCGAAGGCCTCCGCGGCGCATTCAGCTCCGGTTTAAAGTGGAAACATTTCAAAGGACTCTGCTTTTTTTTTTTTCTTTTTTTTTTTTTCTCTGCAAACAATTAATTACAAGTTTAAAAGGAAGTTCCAGCCCTCCTACCCTCGGCAGAAGTCTAGAGGCAATAAATATAAAGCAGCTCAGCGCAGGAATAAAATCGTACATCCTGTTTTGTCTGAAATTCAGGCGGTTGTTGTTTTGGGGTTGGTTGCTTTTTTTTTTTTTTTTTTTTTTTTTTTTTTTTTTTTTTTTTTTTTTAACTTTTTTTTTGGAGTGAAGTGTATCACAGACGTCCAGTGTTCCTGCCTGGATAATGAGCTGCCAGGATATTTATGGATAAATGGCAAACCTGCCTCACACAGATGATTCAGGCCGAGGAAAAGCCGCTCTGTTTTATTTGTGTTGCAGTTTATTACAGCTGTCCTAAAAAAAGGCCCGAGTGAGGATGAAGGTCGGGGCGGGGAGCAGTTTGAAGAAGTGGTTTTCAACTCTTCCCCCCATACCCTTTGCTTCTAATGCCTGTGGGCAGCAGATAGTGGAGACAAGCACCCGGAGAGCCCTTGCTTATCTCCCCTGTGAACAAAAACAGGTCTGCAACACTCACTGCTGGCTCCGGGCAGGGGGTAAGAAGGGGATGGATGGGATTTCAGCCTCCAAGCCTTCCTTGGTAGCTCGTGATTTCTCATTTGGGGACAGCAGTGATAGCAGTGTCCTCTGCCAGGTAGGTGAATGAGGCAATGCAGGGAGTGGCGGGTTTCCTGAGGCCGGGAAGCTGCTCAGCAAAGGAGACAGGGGTGGAAAAGGCTCTTCTGCCTCTTGTAGCACCATCCCTCCCTCCTGGATGCAGACCTGGCACCCCCACCATCCGGCTGGTCTACCTCCAACAAAAACCCGCCATATTTTTCATTTTTTAATTCCCCTTCGAGCAAGCAGAAACTGGAAGGTGCAGCAGGCTGGACAAAAATCCAGATAAAACTTTAGCTTGCAAAAGCTTTCGTTTAGCCAAAGCCCAAACCACCTCCCAGAGGGCTGTGTTTTATTTGGTAAATCTCAAACGAGAGGGTTTTTTTTTTAGAAAGGCACCCACAGAAATTCATGTGTCCGTTTTCATCACATTTCCCGTGCGTATTATCAGAAGAGAAACCACCAGCTAACTGCGGCCAGCTCAGCTACGTCCTCATGCAGATCCAGACAATAAATTTGTGGGGGTCAGTCTGGTTCTGCAGGGGGGGAGGGAGGATAAATCCTTCTCTTTACGTAGGATCTGAGCACTTAGGAAGTCTCAGATTGAGACCTCAGCACCGACACTGAAGGATTCAGCTCTTGGAGCCCCCGCAATTGGGTACGAAAGCCAGCAGCCGGGGTGGCTGATGAAACCAGACCCCATACAGCATCGTAGGTGCCAGGACAGTGCTTCCAAAGGAAGGTTTTCCCTTGGGAATCACCTTTTTGGGGGCTGCCTGCCAGCTCCCGCCTCAGCAGCAGCAGCCCGAGGGCTGTGGTTAGGGTTGGGTGGGACTCGTGGTTTCTTTTTCAGGCGAGGCAGGCAGCCTTGCTGCTGGTTAGGAGGTAGGCTGTCACTGCAAAGCGAGGGGGGAGATGCACAGTGGCATCCCAGCTGGGTGAGCTGGAGCATCCCAAAATGCTTGGTACAAGGGAGCATCCCGTAGCAGGTGCCCCAACAGCAATAACTGCGATTCAAAGCAAGGAAGGGTAGCGCTCCAGACATGGAGGCTTTAACCAAAACCAGCCTGGGTCCCCTTCCCTCTCCTCCCTAGAGATGCCTGGGCTCTGTGAGAGCTGCCACAGGGAGAGCCAAGGAGTTGGTGGTCACAGGGGACAAGGGGCACAACCCCTCCGGGACACCTTTGGAGTTCAGGCTGTACCTCTTAATTTTTTGTTACGTGGAAGTGTTGGTTTTCCTTCTCCTGTGCCTCAGTTTCCCCTCCTGTGCCCGTGTGGATTTCAGCATTCCCTCGAGGCTGTGGGGCTTGAATCCTTAAGGCTGGCAAAGAGTAAAATATCAAGCAGGGGTGAAACATGGTATTAGAGCCTGATGTTGTTCCTGCCAGCTCTTCATCTGCACAGCCCATGATGTAGCGACCCCAGTGCTGAACCTGAACTGCAGACTCATGGCACAGAGCCCCCTGCCCTGCTCAAAACCCTGGGAGCTTTGCCTGGCCCCAGGAGAGCAGCTCCCTGCCCCTGCAGGAGGGCTTCCCCGGGAGCCCTGCCTGCCGCTCAGCAGCACCTCTCCCTCCCCGAGGGAGAGGAAAACCTTACGTCAGGCCGCAGAAATGCTCCTCAGCCCTACCCAACCCTTGGAGCAATTCCCAGGTGAGGCACAGCGGAGGCTCCTCCGTCTCCAGCCAACCCTCATCCTCCCCCACCGCTGCCTTTGAGGCCAGGCCTGGGTGCACAGAGGTGGCCATGGGTGCCCGACCACAGCCTCCAAGTCCCACTGACCATAGTCCCCATCAAAAATCCGGGTGGTTTAACCATACCCTCCAACCCCAAACCTCCTGGCTGTGCCCCAGGTGCCAGAGCAACAGGACTGGTGCCCAGCACAGTGCCTGGGACAGGCACAGACCATGAGAAACGTTCTGTCCAAACCAGACACCCCGTCCCAGGGTGGGTCGGGGTAAAGAGAGACCTGTGGTGTTGACTCCTGGCTCTGATAGCAGCAGTGCCACTCTCTGCGGTGGTCCCTTGCCTGGACCAGGTGAGTCCCTTCCTAGACTGGAAGCAAGGGTTGAGGTGTAATGTCCAGGGGGGCAGGATTTGTGTTCAGCCATACACCAAGGCAAGTAGGGATGCCCAAAGCCCTCCTCGCCCATCCCCACTGCTAAGAATGAACCCCAGGAGAGCTTGGGAGGCTGTGTTTCTCAGATGGGGACACCCAAAGGATGTGGCTGGCAGCATGGCCTAGTCCCCATGACCCTAGACACCTCCAAGGTAGCAGACCTCTTACCTTTTTGAGGCTTTGCTGAGGGAGCAGGCACATAATCTGTGTGGTTTCCCATCTCTGCAGGCACCATCCAAGGACGCTTGTGGAGCCCACTAGCTGCTTACAGGAGCTGAACGTATCCCAAGGGACCTTCAAGCAGAGGGAGCAGCACAGGCAGCCTGCCCAGGAGCCAATATGGAGCAGAGGATCAGCTCTTTCTTTAATTCCATCTTGGAGCTCATCCGTACCAAGCATGAGGAAGGTGTCTTCAACACTGTCTGCCTGGCCGTGCTGATGGGTCTGCCCTTTGTTGTCCTCATTGCCTTCATTTTCATCTGCTGCCACTGTTGCTTCTGCAGCCGGAGGGGAGAAAGTAGGAAGAAAGGTGGCACCAGCAGCAATGGGCAGCTGCATGCCGAGAGGAACAAGAAGAAAAAGAAGAAGAAGAAGAAGGATGAAGAGGACCTGTGGATTTCAGCTCAGCCCAAGCTGCTCTTGCTGGATAAGAGACCTTCCTTGCCCATCTAGCAGACAGGAGGGCATTCAGGCCCTCCCCTCTGAGATGCCACTGGTCCTTTCAGCTGTGCACTACAGGAGGTGAGGAGATACCAAGGCTGCTGCCACTTTATGGTGACTTTCAAAAGAGGCTGAGCCCAGCAGCTAACTAGCACATTGAAAGGCCAACAGCGAGCAAGGCTGTTGGGCACAGGTTTATGCAAGCCCCTTCTCCCCCACCACGACAGCGTGCCCAAGGGCAGAAACCCCCACAAAGGACAGGTGTGCATGGGGACATGTGCCCTGCCACCAGGCCGTACGTACGTCCCACCACGAGCACATGGCCCACGCACCAGGCTGGCACAAAGTGACAGGGAAAGGACAGGTGTGCATGGGGACATGTGCCCTGCCACCAGGCCGTACGTACCTCCTACCACAAGCACATGGCCCACGCACCAGGCTGGCACGCAGTGACGGGGCATGAGGCTCTCCCTCTCATGGACAAAGGTGCGCAGAACCACGTGCACGCAAAGACCGAGCCGCTGGCACACTCCCCCTGCACAGACGTAGACAGCTGCATGAAGTGCAAGCACAGGCACACCTCCTTTGCTTGTCCTGCCACGCAGATGGCACAGCTTGACTGTCTAAGGCTCCATCCAAACCCAGCTCACGTTGGAGATGCACAGAAAGCCAAGCGCAGAGTTACCCCACAGCTCAAAGGTGTGCCATCTTCCTGGCTACCAAACCAAAGGCAACTGAGAGCATCTGAAGACAGATGCCCTCAGCCTAACCTTAGAGACCTCAAGAGCAGCAAAGCAGAAGGACGCGTTGCCACCCAGGCCAGAGGCAGGGAGGAGGGAGGAGGCTGCAAGACTGGCCTTTTTGCACCAGCACTTAAAAAAAAATCTTCCTTGAAAGATTGTTTTCTACAGACTTGCCTTTAGAGAGCCCACCACGCTACTGCAAGAGCGGAAACACAAGCTAAGGCTGTGTAAAGGCTTAGCTGTGGGCATTAGAGTTATTTATTGAATGACTACTAAAGAAGAGCAGGACCAAAGGCCCCTCTGTTGCGGGGCGAGGCACCCCAAAGCGGTATTGAAGCAGCAGACACCCTTTCCCAACACGCTTGGCCGTCCCCTCTCCCTGCAGCCCTTGTGCAGATGCAGACCCATAAACACACGCCGCCACCAGCTGATGCCACGCAGGCAGCTCTGTAGGCCACACAGAGGGCTTCTGTACAGCTGTCAAGCCAGCTGCCTCTGGGATTTGGAATGTGCTGGAGGAGCAGAGGGCATTAAAGTTCATGCCCGCAGTCGTCCCATACCCAGGGATGCGTCGTACAGCTGGACCCTGCGTCCCTCTCCGTCCTCCTCTCATGGACGTGCAATGGCTCAGCTGGACACAGCAGCTGATGGGACCACACACAACTCTCACCCCTGCTCTGGGTTTGACCCTCTGCTCCCCCCCACATCTGCATGCCCAGCCTACCTCCTGGGGAGCTGGGGGGGTCTCCTCTGCCTTCTCCAGCTTGTTCTGCCAGTGAGGGATGCATACTTGTGATAAGAAGCCCTGCCACATCTGGGTTTTTCCCTGTGACTGTACACTGGATGTTTTCCTCCCGATTTTCTTCCACTTCTTAAGCTGCTGGAGCAATCTGGAGCTGCCAGCCAGAGCCAGACATCTCGGGGACAAGCAGCCAAACCCACGGAGCTGCTGGACACAACTGCTTCCAGCCCAGGCGAGAGCAATGCTGCCTTCCCCCAGCACCCAGAGCACACACCAGCACAGGGGCAAACCCACCAGTTAGAAGCAGCTGCTCGTGCCACCCAGTCCCAGTGCAGCCTGTTTTGTCCAACTCGGACAGGGTGGTGATGTTAACATCACATCATCATGGGTTTTGGCTGCGTGTGGTTGGGCTGGTAACAGCCAGGAGGCCAAGCTCCTCCTCAGACAGCCCTTTAAATTGACCCCATATGTGCCTTATTTTCCAGCTTGCTTTGTTAGCATTGAAATAAGAAGTGAGTCCCTTCTCCTCCAAAACAGGAAGCAACGTATAATGCTATAAAAAAATTAGGATTTGGCAACACCTAATCCTAGAGAGAAACATGCACGACTAGCTCTGGGCTCTGTCCCAAAGCCCCCAGTCCAGCCAGGACCCTGGAGAACCAGTGCTACACTTGCATTATTCCTTCTTCCTTCCCTCCTTTCCCCTACCCAGGTACTTTTCCCAGCCCTCCTGCCCCCACACTCACCAGGTGGGCAAAGCAGCCTCCTCCCGCAGGCAGGAGAGCTACCCACACAGGTGTTCCTGCTGTCATCCAGGGGCACCAGCAGCCTCAGAGGAAGGGCAGTGCTGCCTGGAGGAATCAAAAAAAAAAAAACCACCCAAAACCAAAAATCAGAGCGAAGGGAAACACTATGGGAGGCCAGAGGCTTACCTGAACAAGCAGGGGCATGGAGGCAGCTGGATCTGGCAGAGTGCAGCCTACCCGGTGTGGAGCTGCTGGGCTTTGCATGGCTGGCTCCCAGCAAGAAGGTCCTTTTCCAGAAGGATTAGTGAGTAATGTTTCAGGGGAGAGGAACCGATTCCTACAAGAACCAGAGAACTGTCAAGAAAAAAAAAAAAATCTGTGTTTTATCACGGACAACATCTCCAATCCAAGCTTTTGGGAGTTCAGAACCAGGTCTGAATTTCAAGAGCTCCCCAAAATCATCATTCAAACCACTCCGGGCTAGGCAGGGAGGGACCAGGCTATAACCCTGCCCTGATCCATCTAACCAGTGGATGGCCTAACCCTCTGCACTCTATAAAGCAGAGGGGGCTGACATGCTCAAGAACAGCTGTTTTGGCCAAACCAAGCACTGAATCAGCTGTTTCTTGAGACAAAAGTGAAAAAAAGCACCTGGCTGAAGCGCACCAGGACCTGGCACCCATCAGCTGGGCAGCAGCAACCCTGCAGCACCCACGCTAGTAAAGTGGCAGGAGATGCATGGTACAGAAACTCCACTGCATGGGTCCCCACTCTCACACACCTCTGCACTGCCCCCCCACAGCTGCGTTTTGGTATCAACCTTTTATTTTCATAACCAGATCATACAACAGGGAGAAAAAAAGAATAATATTTTTTGCAATTTTTTTAACCAAAAATAAATGACTCTCAAACTGTAAACAAATGCTGCGTGTCCAGCTCTCAGTCGTGTGTTTATTTTCCAGGGGAAATCTTTCTTGTATCTGTGTCCTGGCTAGATAAGAGGCAGGGAACGCTCAGAAGGCAGAGGCTGTGTCTCTGCCTGCAGCCAGCTGTGCAGCTTGGAGAGACATTTTCTTAAAGAAACAGCTTAGCTTAATCGAGTTTAATGGCCTCACCTTGTTAGTGAACAGAGTCAGGCTCCTCTCCCCAAAGGCAAAAAGTTGTGGGAAGAAGAAAAATAGCACTTGTGCACTGTGGGAGGGGGGCTGCTAAGGGTTTTGTGTTTTTCCTTGCAGAGGAACTAGTTAACCACAGTTGGTTTTGATCAGACAAGTGTTTCATGGTGTCTGCAGCTTCTCACAGCCACCTGGTCATGCCAGTGAGGGATGCATACTTGTGATAAGAAGCCCTGCCACATCTGGGTTTTTCCCTGTGACTGTACACTGGATGTTTTCCTCCCGATTTTCTTCCACTTCTTAAGCTGCTGGAGCAATCTGGAGCTGCCAGCCAGAGCCAGACATCTCGGGGACAAGCAGCCAAACCCACGGAGCTGCTGGACACAACTGCTTCCAGCCCAGGCGAGAGCAATGCTGCCTTCCCCCAGCACCCAGAGCACACACCAGCACAGGGGCAAACCCACCAGTTAGAAGCAGCTGCTCGTGCCACCCAGTCCCAGTGCAGCCTGTTTTGTCCAACTCGGACAGGGTGGTGATGTTAACATCACATCATCATGGGTTTTGGCTGCGTGTGGTTGGGCTGGTAACAGCCAGGAGGCCAAGCTCCTCCTCAGACAGCCCTTTAAATTGACCCCATATGTGCCTTATTTTCCAGCTTGCTTTGTTAGCATTGAAATAAGAAGTGAGTCCCTTCTCCTCCAAAACAGGAAGCAACGTATAATGCTATAAAAAAATTAGGATTTGGCAACACCTAATCCTAGAGAGAAACATGCACGACTAGCTCTGGGCTCTGTCCCAAAGCCCCCAGTCCAGCCAGGACCCTGGAGAACCAGTGCTACACTTGCATTATTCCTTCTTCCTTCCCTCCTTTCCCCTACCCAGGTACTTTTCCCAGCCCTCCTGCCCCCACACTCACCAGGTGGGCAAAGCAGCCTCCTCCCGCAGGCAGGAGAGCTACCCACACAGGTGTTCCTGCTGTCATCCAGGGGCACCAGCAGCCTCAGAGGAAGGGCAGTGCTGCCTGGAGGAATCAAAAAAAAAAAAACCACCCAAAACCAAAAATCAGAGCGAAGGGAAACACTATGGGAGGCCAGAGGCTTACCTGAACAAGCAGGGGCACGGAGGCAGCCGGCTTTGGCAGAGTGCAGCCTACCTGGTGTGGAGCTGCTGGGCTTTGCATGGCTGGCTCCCAGCAAGAAGGTCCTTTTCCAGAAGGATTAGTGAGTAATGTTTCAGGGGAGAGGAACCGATTCCTACAAGAACCAGAGAACTGTCAGAGAAATCTGTGTTGTATCACGAACAACATCTCCAATACAAGCTTTTGGGAGTTCAGCGCCAGGTCTGAATTTCAAGAGCTCCCCAAAATCATCATTCAAACCACTCCGGGCTAGGCAGGGAGGGACCAGGCTACAACCCTGCCCTGATCCATCTAACCAGTGGATGGCTTGACCCACTGCACCCCATAAAGCACAAGAGGCTAACGTGCTCAAGGACAGCTGTTTTGGCCAAACCACGCACCGAATCAGCTGTTTCTTGAGACAAAAGTGAAAAAAAGCACCTGGCTGAAGCGCACCAGGACCTGGCACCCATCAGCTGGGCAGCAGCAACCCTGCAGCACCCACGCTAGTAAAGTGGCAGGAGATGCATGGTACAGAAACTCCACTGCATGGGTCCCCACTCTCACACACCTCTGCACTGCCTCCCCACAACTGCATTTCGGTATCAACCTTTTATTTTCATAACCAGACCATACAACAGGGAGAAAAAAGAATAATATTTTTTGCAATTTTTTTAACCAAAAATAAATGACTCTCAAACTGTAAACAAATGCTGCGTGTCCAGCTCTCAGTCGTGTGTTTATTTTCCAGGGGAAATCTTTCTTGTATCTGTGTCCTGGCTAGATAAGAGGCAGGGAACGCTCAGAAGGCAGAGGCTGTGTCTCTGCCTGCAGCCAGCTGTGCAGCTTGGAGAGACATTTTCTTAAAGAAACAGCTTAATCGAGTTTAATGGCTCACTTTGTTAGTGAACAGAGTCAGGCTCCTCTCCCCAAAGGCAAAAAGTTGTGGGAAGAAGAAAAATAGCACTTGTGCACTGTGGGAGGGGGGCTGCTAAGGGTTTTGTGTTTTTCCTTGCAGAGGAACTAGTTAACCACAGTTGGTTTTGATCAGACAAGTGTTTCATGGTGTCTGCAGCTTCTCACAGCCACCTGGTCACAGCACCAAGTTCACACCTCTGCTAGGCAAGAGCCTTTCTCAATCGTGCACCACTGAGCTCTCTCTCTACAAGGACAGAGATGAACCTGCCACTCACCCGGATGATGCACTGAGCTGCACCTTGCCCACAGAGCTAAGCCTCTGGAGAAGACCGGTGGCAAGAGGCCTGCAGGGCCGCAGCAACAAGCAGCTAGAAATGGCAGAGACACACTTTTGGGGGGAAGGAATGAGCAGGGCACAACTTACTTCTCTCCAGATGGCAGCTCTTGCACGCTGTATTGAGGGCCAGGCGTTCTTGGGTAGTGTGGGCTGCAGAGGAGGTTCCTGGGTCTTAGGTTAGAAACAGGGGTTGAGGTCAAGTTGAGCATCCTGGAGCAGCCCAGAGATCAAGGAGATGCAAGTCACATCCCCCCCCAGGTGTATGAAACCCTACTCGGAGGGGAGAATGGGATTGCCACTGACTATTCCTCTATTTATTCAGCCAACAAAGCCTAGAGCAGTGACCAGAAGTCACATTGCTGCTTTCCAAGCAATTGCTCAGCACAGTATGACTCTCCTGCCTTCTCTGCAAGTTACACCGTTCAGAGTACAACATCTTTGGGCAGAGGTACACCTTCTCCCTTCTCCTCCTGGGACAGCGGGGAGGTGGTTGAAGAATCCACCATTTTTCCCTCCTCCAGCAGCATTTCACTGGGGGCCCCCACAGCAGCACTGGCCCTGGTGCACCCCAGATAGGTCCTGGCTCCTGGGCCCAGCAACAGGACAGTCCCCCTCAACACAGTGATGCCAAAGCAGAGGGGATCCTTCTGGGAGTCAAATTCTGCCCTTGGGCGTGTTGCAAACCTCACTGGCTATAAAATTTAAGTGATCTCGGGTCAAGGCAGAGGCTTTGAGAAACTGGTTTGGCCATCTATGGGCTGGGTATCGCAGCAAAACAAGGGTGGTAAGGGGATGTGAAATTTTTATGGGACTACCCCAACCAGCCTGAGCCTTGAAACCAGAACAGCCAGTTCCTGAAGGCAAACAAACTGCATTATCTGACCAGTCCCTACTTCTAAAGCTGTAGCACAGACTCTGGTTAACCCCAAAACGGTCTTTCCACAGAGGCCACCTGGATACAGGGAAGTTTCTCCTAGTCTAGCATGAAGACATGATGCCATCCTGTGGCTGTTTGGAAATACTGACTTACCACAATGGTTTTCCAGCCGCTGCCACTTTGACTGTCCTTCCTCATAAAAGAGAGGCCCATAATTAGGAAGGCCAAGTCAATCATCCTCAGAAACTGCAAATAAGGTGTCTTATTTGCCTTTACCTCTGAAATACAAAGTTCAAAGCTTTAGAGAATATTCCCTGCTCTCGGGTAAGATTCAGCTTTAGAAGGGGATCGTGTTTTGTTTCCACACAGGAAAAAAGCTGCTGGGCAGAATGACACCTGCTGTTTTGTAGAGCATACACTTACTTTTAGATTGGCTGTGTGTAGACTCGGTGATCTCAGAGGTCCTTTCCAACCACGATGATCCTGTGGTTCTGAGGCTAGTCCTCTGGTCCCCTTCAGTCACCTTCCTCATGTCTACACTGTGCCCTTCAACTGAATAACATAGTGAAACCCGTCCTCACCTACAGATAAGCAGGCAACGGGGGAGAAATCACTTCACCACAGTAAAGAACCTGCATCATCTTCCTGTGTCCTTCTCTCATGCTCTTAGTGCAGAGCCTGCAAAACACTTGAAGTATCATTTTCTTTTCCCCTCCTCCCTCCATTGCTCTCCTCCTTCCCCCATACCTCAGCTTGGATATCCCAACGCAGCCCAGATGAGTCTCTGCCTGCCCATCCACACAAGAAGCACAGCCTTACAAGTACTATGAAGAATTCAGCACTCATCTTTGAGAGACAACCCTCTAGCTAGCTCCCCCCAGCCAAGTCCTAGCAGCCACAGATTGGTTAATTGCTTTGCAGGATTAAGTCATGAAGAAATCACAGAGTTTCCATCCCTGTTTCAGAAGAGACTCCAAAGGCCTCGTTTTCACAGCCCCAGTCAGGGCCTAGGTATCTCTGTAAAGAAGGATTAGTTTAAATAGGGGAAAAAAAGAATTCTGCTACCCAAAGCAAAGACAGAAATATTTTAAGACCTCCTTTATTTGCAATTTTATTGCTTCGCCAAAGTCTGGGAAGGATTCTTTAAAATGTATTACTCAACTTAGCATCGGAATAGTGAAGGCCATTAAGACATAGGACAATCATGTTCCAATTTGCTCAGACAAGGAAGCCTTTGAGCAAGCATCATTTGGTGAGCTCATACTTCTTCCCCGGCTGTAGCTGGTGGTCCAGAATTTTAATATCTGCTCAGGGAAAGAAAACAAAACTCACCTTTATGGCTGTGAGGAAAAAAGCAGCCAAATGTGAAACCATTCACTGGCTCCCCCTTGAATCTGCAGACAGTTTGAAAGAGAAGCCTGACGGAGAGCGTGCAGGATTGGTTTAACTCAGAGATATTAATTTTAGAGGTGGATGACAAGCACTGTCATTTCAGCATCACTAGCTACCACACTGCTAATGAAAAAGCAGGAGGGG